ATGACAAATGATAGGTCAGCAATAATAATAACATTCATGATCATAGTGACTATAAAAAACAACAATAGGTATTGTTATCGCAACGAATTCATCATTAACTTAGATAGACAACTAATAATAATACAACCATACCAAATAAATTTATCACTTAATCTTAAGAAGCATGTGTTTACTTACTTTCACTGTATTCTCTCAATACTGATGTGTTCAACCAGCTCATTCCAACTGAATTTAAGATTAATTCTGAAAGTGAGTGAAGATCCAGTTTATGTCAAATAAAAACATGTACCTTACATGTATTACACTGCTTACTGAGACACCTGATACCTGCTTTCCGATCTTCATGACAAGAACACAGATTATCTAGGTTTACTTACATATACATAAGTATACGTATATGCTGCATCAACTATGCTGCTTTTTTCATGATTAACCAGACCACTGTGTATATTATACTTATTTAAGGATCTGTGAAGATAATGGTCGGCAGCCTGTAGACGGACGTAGGTCATTTGATCAGCTGATGGATATTGGCGTTATTTTTGGAAAAGACGTCAAGGTTAGGTCATTTTTCGTTGTTTTACACACTTTTTTACCTATATTCCTGCTAAAAGTTGATGAAATACGGCGTAATTAGCAGGAATAGGCAATGGTGTTGTTCTTATCCGGCCGTAGCTTACAGGCAGTTTAGAGTTTGTTGAAAAAACGTACTTTTCCGTTCAGAATATGTCGAATTACTTGAAGACACATGTTATAACGACCATTTCGTGAATTTTTTCGCATTTTAATGGATTACACATGGACATGATGAAGTGGGATAGCTCGTTTAGGTAATTATTTCAATTATTTTGTTGTGTACTTTTCCTAATGCTGACAAGGCTGCTCCACATGTATTTCTTTAAGAAAAGTCTGCAGAAATACTAAGAAATTATGTACGCACAGTATTTCCTCATTTAATGGCATAAACTTGACGTTTGCAGACAGATGCAATATCGATTTTGTATTATTGAAAAATGTTTACTGACGTATTTATATATAATTCAACTAATTATTTCGTCATTTCAAACATATTTAATGGTTAATTATTGTGTTTACACTGATAACAATGTTTACGTCTGTATAATTCTTATGTTCTTTCTCAGATAATATCTACTTTCGTGAATTTCATGGATTTGGGTGATAAAGAAAAAGATACCTGCACTGTTGTCGATTTTGTATTACATGTTAATTCATTAATAAATGTATTCCTCGTTATTCGTTTGTTTATTCTACTTGATAAGACCGAATATTAGCCCTTGCGTAATTTGTGAGGTATAGAGTATATGAGACTATTTTGGAAATACTGAGTAGAAGCAGATATTCGGAGAAGCCTATTGGTAAAAGATTATGTTGTAGTCAAATAAAGTAAGTATGTCTAAATCGTAGAGGAGGTATTGCGATTATGAAGCGTTTCGAGTTATCTATCGTCTTAGCAGAATACATATAATGATTCGCGATTCATAGTCACAAAGTGAGAGTAAATCTACCTGAGATAGTGTGCTTGTGATTTCTGCATGTCGCAGTGTACCATAAGGACAGACTATACCTATGCTGTTAAATGTATAACTCTGTGCAACTACGGTTATCGTAATAATTAAAAACAGAATGCCTAAGGTCCTCGGCCACGGAACACGGTACGTTGCTATCTACTCATATACTCATATAACCTATGCCTACCTGGCTTATTTTATGTAGGAGAAAGTCATGGTGAACAGTGTCAAATGCCTTCTCAAGGTCTAGGAAGACCACATGGACTGGTACGTTCAAGTCCCAGCAGTATGTCCAGTCGTCCCATGCTGACAGTAGGTTAGTGACGCAGGATCTGCCTTTTCTGAAACCATGTTGGGCTTCATGCAGTATATTAGTCCTATCGAAATATTCCCTGATGTGGTCGTCAATAATACTTTCCAGTACTTTTTATACCACTGGGAGTAGAGCTACTGGTCTATAGCTAGGAGCGTTTTGCCTGTCCCCACCCTTGAAGATTGGAGAAAGGATGGCTCTTTTCCACTCCCTTGGCAGGGTCCCCGAATCCATTGAGTGTTGGAACAAGTCGCACAGGGGTCTACAGAGAGCCTCGACGCACTGTTTCAGAACAGATGGCCTGATGTCATCACAACCTGGGGACTTCCCAGGTATGAGTCGCTGTAGCTTCCTTAGTACTATTGCGGGTTTATTTGGGGAGTAGTCGCTAGGTCTTCCTCCTCTGAAATAGTGGTGCCACCATTTTGGTCCGTAACTGTAATATCCACATTGCTGTTTAGCTGTTTAGCGAAGGCTGAACTGAATGTTTCAGCCATCTCCAGACTAGTGAGATATTGACCGTTTGGGCCTACTAAGGCGCATGACCCCTGGTTTGTCGGTTTTCTTTCCGACATGAATCGGTACAAGTTTTTAGGGTTTGATAGGAGTTTTTTAGCAAGGTTAGCCTGGAATGACCTTCTGTCCCTCCTGACTCTTGCATTACACCGGTTCCTGTGTTCGAGGTATGCATCATGGTCGGTCTGACTCTTAGATACACGCCACGTAAACCAAGCCTTCCGCTTTGCTTGCAGAATACGTTGCATGCCTCTCTTCAACCATGACGTCTTTCTCTTGGGCTGTGTTGTGACCAAAGGGACGGTATCCGAGATTGGTGTATGGATAATCTTTTTTACCACTTCCCAGTGTTCATCCACAGATAGGTCGTCCCATGCTAAGGGCCAGTCTGCGTCGGAGTCATGATCTGGACCTTCCAATATCCAATATCCTGATTACGAGCTAGTATAAACCAGTGATTTCTTTGAGCTCGCTTCTTGATTGTGAGGTAGAGGTTCCAGATCTTCGGTGAGCTTCTGCGTAGTAAGTCCCGACACTCGACTGCTTTAGCTCTGGTAGACTCCAGGAGGAGTGGTGCGGGGATTGGTCGAGATGTGGTTTGTAGTATGCAGTATGTTAGGACTGTATTGCTGCCGTGAATGGAGTTTGACCTAACTCCCGTTGGTCATTCGGTGTAGTCATAAAAGCAGAATAGTAATAATAATAATAGGTTGTAGTGTAGATAATATAGCTATATTCGCTTGAAGATGACACTGTAGTCGCTATCCCAAACACTTGGGTTATGCGAAGTGGTTTATGTGCGTACAGCAGCACAGCAAACCATCTAGAGCCTATGTTTACCGGGGCTGGATGGTCAGTATTTCAATTCCGTCAACTGCAGGAATTTGGTAAGTTGGCATATTTCATTATCACCCTTCTAGATACGTATGAGAACTGTAAAAAGGGTATAGAGCTTATGAAAAGCAATGATCAAGGCACCAGGAATGTAGAGATGGACGATGACACGTTGCCAATGCCCAGTAAGAGACCGAAAAGGTAGGTATCGTTGTCTGTCTAACACATTTTTCAGGGATGCCAAGAAAAATGACAAAAATTTCCTTTACAACTCAATGGATATTGAAGTAGCTGCCAGTGAGGTTGCTTGCATCAAACCACAATATCCAGATTATAACATATTTGATGACTTCGTGGCCCCAATTCCAAGGTATTAACTTGATGGAAAGCCCTTCATTTTCAGTACTTCGGGTGCCCCCCAATTCCAGTCTTCATCTCCTATTGCCAAAAAGAAGTGTGTGTGTGACCGGTAGGAATAATTGTCACAATTTTTATTTATGCTTTAGATTGCCCTCTAACGAATATGCTACTGAATCCTTAATTAAGAAATTACTCGGTAATTACTTGAAAATAATTATTTATTTAAAGATACAAATATGGAAATCGTAAACCTGTGCACGAAAATTTTGAACATTATTACTACTGATAGAAAATTTCGACAGCAAACCTACCCCCCAGCAAACGGGGACCTAACACTGCACTTTCCGATCGAGAATGAAGACCAGTTAGAGATGCTGGAAGCATCTTTAAGAGACGAAAAGTACAAACAGCAATATGTGAGTTGACGTATTCAATTCTTATTTCTTGTAGACTGCTAAGATGGCTAGCTGCCTGCAGAGTGATCCAAAGTTGTCGCTTAAGGTCATGATGCACCAAGTTATAAAACCTGAATTGGGTTTGAAGTTTACATTCCAGGGGACTTTGTCAAAGTCAAGCATTGTTCCTTATGCCTTTTATAAAATAATGAGAAGTAAGTTTCAATAATGAAGTAATTAGTTCTCTAGCTTTAATTATGTCGCACTTCTCCGGCCAACAAATGACGACCGGAGAGATTTGTGAAATGATGGATAAGGCCACGAAATCGTACTTTCATAATTTGAAAGATCGTGTCCAGAGGCGTAAGCGGAAGCAAGGAATTCAGGTAATATTGTGAAACGCCTGCTTACTTCTATAAGTGAACGTTTGTTCAGCATGTAGTAATCACAATATTGTTTTCTTTTTTAGGCAAATGAAAAAGATACTGGGGGATATAACAGTGGCACTTATGTAAGTAAACTTCTATAAATGTCAGTGCTCAGAATGTGCTGAGCACAATTTTTCACCCACTAATATTTTATTCTGCTTATTTGCAGGTTGCTGCCAGTGGATCGCACTTGACGGGATTGCAGTGACGTTGTACTACAATTTATAAATACAAAAGTCTCAATTATAAAAACTGATTTCTTCTGCACTTGAATAAATGAATTTCGCCGGCGTAGGATGATAATAAGTAGAAGTTCTTTCGTTCTGAATTAGTGCTAGTCAGTGCTGAAAATGATCCGCGAAGGCTTAAATTAGGCTGAAAAAATTGCCACTATGTGCTGAATTAAGTCTTTTCGTTCTGAATTAGTGCTAGTCAGTGCTGAAAATGATCCGCGAAGGCTTAAATTAGGCTGAAAAAATTGCCACTATGTGCTGAATTTAGTCTTTGCTATGCTTAAAAGAAGAACACGGTTCTGAATTAGCGCTAGTTATGCTGAAAACTAGCACTTAGTTCTAGTCTGTGCCACTAAACAAACGATTTCAGAACAAATTCAGAATTTACTCACTATAGGATGCTAGAATTATTTCAGAATTATTGAGATTTAATTCAGAATTATAACAAGCTTGGGTTGAGATAAGTGGGATAATAAAGGTGACCTAAGGAAAAGATAGAGTAAGAGAAGGCAGAATAGGTCGTAGGGATTTAGTTAGTACCTTTACGACGAGTAGCTGGTCACTAGTTAGAATATAATCTAGTTTTGATGACTTTCCACTAGGGCCCCACCTAGTGTCGTCTCCAACATTCTCAGTCAGTCCCGTGTTTCGAATAGTTTGCAGTAGGTTTCGGCCAAATTTTCCCTTAGCACACCCGGAGCCGAGGTTCAGTGATGGAGCATTGAAATCTCCAGCTATGGTGATTTGGTCGTAGCCCAAATCTCGTATTCCTGTGATAGTATATATACAAATGAACTGAAAAATAATGTCCTCCTTACCTTATGAAAAACTTGTCTTTATTCCAGGATTATAACTTTCTTTCATCTATGAGTCTGAGTTATGTCTATGTCACAATATTACATCAGTTAAATCTTCCCCCAAAACCAAGGCCACTTCCAATATCCAATATCCTGATTACGAGCTAGTATAAACCAGTGATTTCTTTGAGCTCGCTTCTTGATTGTGAGGTAGAGGTTCCAGATCTTCGGTGAGCTTCTGCGTAGTAAGTCCCGACACTCGACTGCTTTAGCTCTGGTAGACTCCAGGAGGAGTGGTGCGGGGATTGGTCGAGATGTGGTTTGTAGTATGCAGTATGTTAGGACTGTATTGCTGCCGTGAATGGAGTTTGACCTAACTCCCCTTGGTCATTCGGTGTAGTCATAAAAGCAGAATAGTAATAATAATAATAATAGGTTGTAGTGTAGATAATATAGGTTGAGATAAGTGGAATAATAAAGGTGACATAAGGAAAAGATAGAGTGAGAGAAGGCAGAATAGGTCGTGGGGATTTAGTTAGTACGCTTATTCATTGACAGTTTGGTTTCAAATTTTATGAGGATAAGCCATTGAGACACAAACCTTGCATTTCTGCATGATTGTCTAGCTTCCGCTTAAAAATCTCCACAGATGGCGCTGTAGTCACGGCCGCCGGTAAAGCGTTCCAGAGACGGCAAACACGAAGCGAAAAGAAATGTGATCGCACTCGAGTCTTTGGTCTCTGGTGTGCTATCCTTAGCGGGTTACCTCGTGGAAGCCTATAATCGCTTAATGGCAGGATGCTTTTATTTGGGTGGGCCTGGTCATTTAGGATCTTGTAGACGGTGATGAGGTCTCCCCTGTGCCTACGGTAACTGAGTGTGAAAAGACCTAATTTCTTTAGTCTTTCCTCATATGATTTGTTGCGGAGGCCGATCACCCATTTTGTCGCTCGTCTCTGGACACTTTCTAGAATGTTAGCATCCCTTTTGAGTAGCGGAGGTGCAATGATATTATGCACCTCAAGGTGTGGCCTCACATATGCCTTGTATAGCCTTAAGAACAGTTCGGGAGTGAGAGCTCCCAGCTGCCTGTGCATAAAGTGTAATGTTGCGTAGGCTTTGGCGACGTCCCTCGAGTAATTTCCACTGGTGTCTAGCTTTTCTGTTAGAATAAGACCTAGATCACGCTCTGATGGAACACAACTCAAGTTCTGGCCACCAAGGGTGTAATTTACACTCTGTGACCTGCCGGAATGAAGCTGCACTACTTTGCACTTCTTTAGATTGAAAGGCATTCCGTTAGCCAAAGCCCAATTTCCCAGAGTTTGCAGGTCAGCCTGCAATCTATCTGAGTCTTCCGATGAGTTTATTGCTCTCCAAATCTTTACGTCGTCAGCGTAAAGAAGCGCAGAGCAGTTTAGTTGGGGGGGCAGGTCATTGATAAAAATCAAAAACATCAACGGCCCTAGGATAGAACCCTGAGGAACCCCTGATGCCGAGGTGTGCCAAGATGATCGGATGCGGTTGACTTTGGTGCAGAATTCTCTCTCGCCTAAGTAATCTGTCAGCCATGCGAGAAGTGCTCCAGAAACTCCCGCCTTGCCTATTTTGTGAAGGAGCAGACCATGGTGAACTGTGTCGAATGCTTTCGCAAAGTCGAGAAAGATCACGTGGGCTGGTACCTTTTTGTCCCAGGATAGTGTCCAATCGTTCCAGGCTAGTAGAAGATTCGTCACGCAGGATCTTCCCCTCCTGAAACCGTGCTGTGCTTCGTGAAGAAGGTTAGTCCCATCGAAGTATTTTCTCATGTGGTCGTCAATGAGACTTTCCAATATCTTCGATACCACTGGAAGTAGAGCAACTGGTCTGTAACTGGTCACATTCTGCCGGTCACCACCCTTGAAGATAGGGGATAGGATTGCACGTTTCCATTCACATGGAAGTTTCCCTACATCAAGGGAGTGTTGGAACAGATCACTTAGGGGTTGACAGAGACTTTCTGAACACTGCTTCAGGACAGATGGTCTGATGCCATCACAACCTGGAGACTTTCCCGAAGCCAACCTTCCCAATTTTGCAAGTACCATAGCCGGGGTAATTTGAAATGTCCCCAGCAGGTTTTCGTGTGTTGGTTTTGCGATGTAATCTGGATGTTCTGTAGGGGTAATATCCTCGTTACTATTTAGTTGCCTGTGAAAGGCTAGGCTGAATGTCTCTGCCATTTCAAGACTAGTAAGAGATTTCCCATCAGAACCCACTAGATTGCATGCTCCCTGGTTGGTCGGTTTTCTTTCGGCCATAAACCTGTATAGGCTTTTGGGGTTCACGAGAAGCTTATTGGCGAGGTCTCCCTGAAATGTCCTTCTATCGCTCCGGACTCGTATGTTACATCGATTCCTGAGTTCAAGGTACACTTCATATTCGGGTTGACTCTTCGATCGTCGCCACGCGAACCAGGCTTTACGCTTTGCCTGCAGAAGGCGTTGTGTCCCTCTTTTCAGCCATGATCGTTGCTTCCTAGCTTTTGGTGAGACTAAAGGAACAGTGTCTGAGACCGCCTGGTGAATGATCTCCTTTACCACTCTCCAGTGTTCTTCTACTGTTAGCTCTGTCCATTTTTTAGGCCAGTTTGCTTCAGACAGAAGTCTTCGCATTTTGGTAAAGTTGGCTTTGTTATAACACAGATAGGGCTGTGTATTGTCCCACTGTAAGCGCTCGCGGAGGACTATGTCGAATACTATGACCGCGTGGTCACTACTACCTATGGGAGTCGTGATCTGAACGTTTTCCACTAGTAGCTGGTCACTAGTGAGCACGTAATCCAGTCTAGAAGACTTCCCATCAGGGCCCCATCTAGTATCCATCTTGACATTTTCGGTGAATCCAGCCTTCCTGATGGTATGCAGCAGATTTCGATCAAATCTATCATGGGCTTTTCCCGACACCAAGTTAAGAGATGGGGCATTGAAGTCACCAGCTATGACAATTTGATCATAACCCATGTCTTGAGTCGCTGAAATTGTATTTAGCAGTACCTGGTTATGGTCTGCTCCACATGAAGGTGATCGATAAATGCTGCCCACTAGATATTTGCAGTACCCAACGGTGAAGTGGCACCATATGGAGTCAGGGAGCTCTGTGAGGGGAGGGTCCGTCGCGTGAACACATCTGAGCTGTTTGTCGACGTATATGGCGACTCCACCTCCTTCTTTCAGGTCCCTATCTCGCCTGACTAGGACCATATCATTTATACTGACTTCGCTGTCTGCCACCGTAGGGGTTAGCCAGGTTTCCGTCAGTATTATGATTTTGGAGTTTAGTTGTGATTGTAGGTGTCTAAGTTCAGCTATTTTGCCTCTTAGCCCTCTCACATTACTATACAGGCAACTGGTAGTCAGTCTCACCACTTCCCCGTATTGGGGGGTAGTTGACTTGATATTGGCTATCGGTTGAGGAGTTATCCTACGAACTAGTTGGCCGATTCCCCAGGAACCGGCCTGTTGGCGTTTTTTTCTTCTAGTTCAGTTGGAGCACTCGGATGACACTGGCTATCATCGTCCGTGCTGCACCGCTGTAGTGTGACTAGGGGTTGAGGATTTTCTTTTACTACGCTTTGTTCTCTCCTTTGAGTGCGAGGCCGGCTCTCGCAGCAGCGAATGTGTTTGCTGACCTTGTCCTTGGTCTCGTACCATCTATGGAGAGCGGTAGTCAACTGGTCTTGGGAGCTGAACTTGACAGCTAACAGACGTGGCGAGTTAATTGACATAAGATGAGTGGGTCGAGGCAGTCTATAAATAGAGACAGCCCCTGAACTTCCCAGGGCCATCTGGGATGCTAACCATCTCCATTGTTGTACATCATGACAATGCTTTTCGCAGGCGTTCCCAGTTACCAGTTCGGGAATGCCATGCACAACCATGGAGGCAGAAGGAATGAGCTCTGGCGACTCCCTCGCCATTTGTCTTTCCTTCCACGGCCTGTCTGGCTTAACACGTATGTTACAGGCCCTCCCTATAGAAAGGACTTGAGAAGCCAGTAACACTTTTTCAACATCCTCGGTAGAGCTCAATGTTACCCTCAGTGGGGATGGTTTGCCTTCAGGTGCAGCAGTGCCCCTATACAATCTGCATAGATTTACTGGTTGGATGTCCAAACCCAGTGTGCTACTTAAGATGGACCACTGTTCCTGATCAAATAGGGCCCTATCTTTCAGCAGACTACTGCTACAGTCTGGTACATTAAAGAGGATTACACAATTTGATCTGCTAACCGTGGGCTTGGGCTCGGTCCTCGCACGTTTGTGATCACCTTTAAGACCGTTTTGGTTTGACTGGTGCGACTGGGTATTTTTATGTGTCTCAGTGCTAAAGCCAGCATTACTGGTAGACGGTTGGGGTCTTTTTCCAACGACGGAAACCCGTGGTTCTCCAGCCTCTGTGTCTGGAGCGGTTATGGCAAGAGTTACAAGTTTAACCGGTGAGGATTTTGGTATCCCCGGTTTACTCGCGTTTGTACTAACTTCCGGATTGGTGGGGGTCGAGCTTTTCACCTTTTTCCCCGCTACTTCTGTGCCACCTTTAGTTTTCAAAGGACTACGCGAGGCTACATCAGGACGGCAACTCGGGCATATGTACCAGAACCATTGGCATGGGTTTTTACGCATAAAGTCATAATATGCTTTTGGTACCCCACTGTCGCATCTGCAATGCACCCATCGGTTGCAAAAGTTACATTCGAAGGCAGAGTCTGCTTGTTCGACAACAGAAGCACAGACCTTGCAGTCGTCTGTCTTCTTGGGGAGCGTTCTTGTCGTCTTGCGACGTCGTGAACGTTTCTTTTTGGCCTTCCTATTTGTTTCATGGTCTACCATGGGGATGGGTGTTATGAAGTTCTCACTTAGTGCAATTTTCCCACTCGGATCTGTTAACCTAGTCGTGTTAACAGGGGTGGAGCCACATCCACTTGGCTGACTT